CGAGCAGCTGGATATGAACAGGTGAGATTTACGCAGCTCATTTACACACTTTTCCTGAAGATAGAAGAGTTTGTTGAATCTGACGTGGCATGTTCGTACGAACCCTTTGTACGAACAAAAGTAAGAGAAATTTAGGATAAGAATACGAACATGTTCTTGCATGAGGCCCACTGAATCTCCTGTGGCCATGTGGAGCTGTTTAAACACTTGCTGGTACAAAACAACACCTATTTACACAAAGCTCCTCCCTTGGGCTCAGTCTGCAGCTGAGCTCTCACCACACAGAGCACCCCTCCCTGACACAGCTCCACCATTAGCGGCAGCAATGATTAGCACCTGGTGGAACTGCACGTTTGTTGAGCTTATAATACAAACCACTTCTCAGTCCGGTCCTTTACGGATTAAAAAATGCTTTCATCGAGGAAATGTACTTTTGGATGCCAAGGACACTACCCTCTTACAACTCTTCTAGAAAGGTTGTAAACAGCATGAAGTATTGTTGTGAAAATGTGCTGAAGTGGGAGTGTTGGAAATGGTAGGAGGTTCTTAACGGGACAGAGGTTAAGTTCAAGGCGTTTAGATGGGCTATGATACAAGGTCTAATTTATGTTTGATGTATACAGCTTGTTCATAACAACTGCGACCACCTTTAAACACACATGTTGTACCTACATTGTAGAAAGGCATCTTGCTGAGCAAGGTATCCATCAGCTTGAACATGTTTCTGGCAGCAGGCTGCAGGGATGCCTGTTTCACCAGCATCTGTCTGGTTTCCTCCAACCTTCCCTGCAGGACATAGCTCACCACCTGCACACACAAAACATGTGATGACTTAGATCTCCAACTGCAGTGAGCAGAAACACAACGAGGGAAATCATCTGATACTCATGAGAGAAAAAAAATCTTATCACACCTTGCAGCAATCATTAAAAGCAGATCTAATTATAAAGCACATACCACATCCCAGTAGTCACGATGCTCAGCAGGGCTGTCACTTTGCAGCACATTACTGGCTTTCTCGTCCACATCGGCCTTGTGTAACCTCACCCAGTCCAGAAGGTGGAGCAGGAGAGAGCCGGCTGAGAACACACAAGCATCCAAGCATTGTTTTTGCAACATCCAAGACAAGTTAGATGACTTATTCTGCACTGAAATGAAATTGATCACAAAAAGCAGACTGACCAGGAGCAGCATCGATGAAAAGCACCTCACACAGATTCCAGATCAGTTCAATAGCCAAGAGAATAGACACCTGTGGCAAAACCGAGGCGACAAAGRTTAGGAAAATGGTATCAAACAGCAGGAAGAAAAGTGCAATCAGTGCTGGTGTATTTATTGCAACCTAATTTTCTAACTGTTTGTCAAAATGTACATGCCTGATTTCCGTACTGCGTGGACATCGCTGCGTCTTTTGTTGAAACTGTCCAAAAAACAAAATGATAATAAAATGTAAATAGGTATGAGAAACAATATTCTAGCTATATTTCTTAAAAAACGAACCTGCAACCTGTTGAAGCTCTTCCATACAGGCTCGAATTACTGATCTATAGTTTCTGCTGATGCTGACAAATCTGTGGAACAAGGCAGTGTGGTTTTGGAGTTAATTATACAATTATAAAATACATGTAAGTTTTATCTGTTTTTTWAAAAGACTCAGACTAGAGAAAAATATAAAACTTTTTAAAGTAGTTATACTGAGGTTTCTTGGCCTTGCTTGGGAGATCCTCTTTGATCGTCTGCAGTCCAACAAAGATGTGATGGGACTCGTTAAACAGTTTGCGTAAAATAGGGGAATATATGTCCTCGTCTTTCCTGACCATGTGAATGAATGAGCATCTTGCTCCTGTAGATCCTGAAACCCAGGTGGTTAAGAAAACAAGGGATGAGACGAAACAATAAAAACATAAAGGGCATTTATTTATTTATTTATTTAAACACATACCYGATGGTTTGTATTGAGTCTCATACACAAGGATATCACCAGGACCCCATGCAAAGCCCATGTGCTTTCCATGTCTGATTCCATGAATATTCTGCATATCAAAACCAAACCCACATATCTTTACTTTGGTGTTGGTTAAAGGTCACCCAAAATTAGAACAAATACATCTTTTAAACTGATCCATTTACAACACTTAGAACTCATCTTTTAACTACCAACTATAACTAAACAATTTAATTTACTTCCAAATATATACAAATTTACTTCTGATTGTAATGTCAGTCCATTTCTGCTGACTTAATTATGTAGTTTGTTTACACTTCACTAAAAACTTGACCTTCGATGTGTCGACCAGATTAATACATTTTCACCTAATTTTTTTCATGTATAAAACTTTTCACTTCACTTACACGTGTGCATTATTTAACTAATACACAATTAATGATTTGATTTAAAAACAAGTCCCTGATAGCTACCCTAGCTATTAGCATTGATTGAGTTTTATCGGGCGTTAGTAGGATAATATGACAAATAAATATTACTTACAGTAACTACAGGCTCAACATCAACTTCCTCCATTGGGGACTAATGTTATCAATRCAAAACAAAATGAAACTATAAACGATTCACCTGAAAACATGCAGTTAAACACATGTGAAATACGCTTCTTATTACGCGCCTCTGTCGCTCACTGGAAAACTACTACTGCGCATGCGTAGACTTTACGAGCTGCCCTTTCAGATGCCTGATTTTTCTGTCAACCACAGAAACAAATAAATCGGGAAAATAAATTGTTTTTCACAACAATGGCATACGGAGAGGGCACAATTAATTAAAAAAAAACACCAAATTCATGATTAATTAGGTTTATCTTTAAATTTTAAAATCAGGACGTGAGAATAGTTATTCTGCACCTACAGAACAGAAGCAAAGATCTGCACTGAACATCAGTCAAACTTTCATATATTATATATATAATCCACCTGGCTAGCATTATTTCGCTATTTTTAATTGTTTTTTGTTATAAACCTGTCAAAAAATAATCAGATTGAACTGTCTTCTATGACGTTTCAGCTAACGGGTCTTTTTGACTCAAATATTTTCACGTGCTTTGTTTGTTTTCTTGTTAACGTCAACCACACACCCAAATACTGAAAGCAGCTTATAATTAAAACACTTTAACGCWTTTATAATTTCAATTTGGAATCACAAATAATTGTGCACTTATTCAGCAACATAAAGTAAAAAAAACTGATTTATTTTTTAATATTGCTCAGAGTTATTTTGGTGCCATGATTTATTTTACACATAAATAGKTTTACATTTACATCCCCCTCCGGATCAGTCAGCAGCGGTGCTGGGGTGGATCTCTCCCCGGCTATGGCTGCAGCTGGGAGGGACTGAGCTGTGGGACGGGAAGGAGCCCACGGCAGCATCCGCTGCTTGTTCAAAACATGTTTTTACACCAGTCTCCTAAAGTCGCAGTGACACCAGAACAAATAGTCACCAGATGGCTCTGAAAACTCGGTAAAACTAGCGATAAAGTCGCAAAATTAGCGCCAGTTTCCTCCACCTCTCCGATATGCCAGTATAGTGCTGCCTTACTCTAGCCATGAACTGAAGTGTCAAATTATGGTTCATTACGGGATTTAGGGGATTTATTAACCATACTGACGGCAAAATGTTCGTAAGAATACAACAATTACCGTGTGTCTGGCAATGCTGACTGGTTAATATGCGCAAAAAAACCCAAAAACAAGAGAAAACATCGTGGTGCGCGTGCACGTGGAGCTGAACGCTGTGTGTAACGCGCATGCGGGACTTTCACGCCCWTGCCCAGACCGCGCTTTCGTCCCCGTGACCACTTCCAGCCAATGAATGCCGGCCGGGGTGTACGCGCATGGACACAAGGCCGCGCACGTTTGCCAAAAAAAATGTCAAAGGACACGAGTACGTGCGCGTACTCGTATTCTTTGTGTGGCAGCGTAGAGAAGCGCCAAAAGAGTGACCATGGCTGATGAAAAACCAAAGGTGAGTGCCTCCGTTGTGTTGGGATATTTTACCGGGTCTGTGACAGAGGATCTGAAAGAAGAAAAGCACAGCTTTGCTTGATGCGTTTTAACTGTTTTAAAAGTTGCGTGATACATTTCAACTATCAGCTACTTTGATAGACCGGAAGACTTGTGAACGCGCATCCGCAGGCTCGGGTTTTTTTTTTTTTTTTTTTTTTTTTTTTTTTTTTGTCTGATTAAAGACAGCCCTCCAGCCGGTGTTCGACCCCAGTGCATCATGGTCCATGTTTTTGTGTAGCTAGTGTTTGTCCGTTATAATACAGTGACATAAACTGCTGTTTATTTGTTCATCTAAAACACATTTTAACACTTTGAGCTGGTTTGTTTTTGTTGTTGATGTTTCAAGCAGTTGAAGTAAATGGAAACAGAAGTTTAGGATGCACCAGAGAAAATATTTTATTCATGGTTAAAAATCAGTAAATATGCTATCACGTTGTTGTTTGTTTTATCCTTGCATATTTATTTCTTACTTTTAATTTTAAATAAATAGTTTGATATGTAGTTATTTGTAAAAATATTCATGTCTCTTGAATTTTTTGCACCTTTTGTGACATTGGCGTTAGGGCTGCACCGATTCCAGTTTTCTGGCCGATCACCGATCTTCAAAAAGTCTGATTTGCTGGTTCCAAATTTGGCCGCTATCGATTTTTTTAAATAGCTGACACTGTCAGATGTTATAAAGTCACAATACAACTTCAATTTTCAAATGTTATTGTATTGAAATCCATCGAACAATACCATTGAATCAAGACAAACTTGTTATAACCGCTTCATTAGGTAGTGCTCACAGCAGAGCAAGCAAGGACAGTAGCTGATTTTCAGACCTTTGTGAAGGTAGAAAAGACGATCTTTTCAACTGATCTTATCTAGGATCGGCCGATCTCCCAAAATTAAGGAAATTARCACCCGTAGTTTGTAGGGCTGTGTATTGGCAAGAATTTGGCGATGCGCTCCATATCGTAACAGAGGGGTCACAATACGATATATCCCGATATTGCGATACTGTAAGCAAGGCAATATATTGCGATTTTTTTGTCCAAAAATTATATTAAATAAAAGCTTCTTACAGAAAAAAAAAGAAAAGCTAATGTTTACTTACAATGCTAATGCTACCCTTACTCTCTGGCGCTCAAGAGGTAGAGGAGCCAAATGGCTGGCTCACTGCTGCCAACTAGTGGTCAGAGGCTGAACTACAACATAAAAATGAACGGTTGGCAAGAAGACTGACATTTTAAACCTCAATAAAAAATCGATACAGGGCTTTAGAATATCGATACAGTATCGGGAAATGAAATATCACGATATTTCAGTGTATCGATATTTTCTTACACCCCTAGTAGTTTGCATACATGTCAAGTTGTACAGATTGTCCGTAAATTACAATTAATTTTTCCCTTATTTTGCAGGTATACTGCAGTATAGGGCAATCTCACTGATTTATTTTAAAACTCTCCTTCAAATTAATTTTATGTGTCAGAGCCTGTACATTAAAAGCACCCCAATAAATAAAATTAAATAACCATCCCCCAACCCGCTCTGCAGCTCAAAATAAATTCCCCACCTCTCCCCGTCCGCTTTCCTTGCTCCCCCAGGTTCTGTCTTTCCCTGTGGTAGACCTTAGCCCATAATGTGATGTCTAAGTGATGCTTAGTTTCTTTCTTTCTTTTTTTTTTTTTTTTACAAATAAATTACCTGAAAAGTGTAATATTTGTTTGAATTCAGCCCTTTTTACTCTTGATACACACTAATGCCTGGTTCACGCGGCAAGATTTTAAAATTGTCGGCTGATTTTCAACGACTAAGAGACCCCACAYATGAGGATAAAAATTAATGGCTACAACAGGTTTGGTCCTACAATGTGTGCTGTACAGCCACAAGGAAAAGACAGACATGAACAGATTTTACTCACGACCATTCAGATGTCGGACATGAAGTCACGTGAGACCTCTTGGAATCAAAAGGAAAAGAATATCTCTTAAGATTGTTGGAAGGGCAAAATTGGGCCAAAAATTGGTGCAGATATCTTGCTGTGTGAAACCAGCAAAAGATCCAGTTCAACCAGTTACTTTCAGAAATCACCTAATCCTATCTCTGTCATTGAACCTCAGTAGAAAAACAGCTGTACTGCGACTCTAGTGTTCAGTTAGCATCGTGAAGACCAACAATGTCTGAAGCTTTGAACGTCTTACACTGTTCAATCCAGAAACAGGAAAAGTTCGGCACAACTGCAAACATCACTGCACACCTTCCCGAATGCATCGTCCCCACGGCGAAGCATGGTGATGTAGGCATCATGATGTGGGCATGAGCTCTATTTTTCTCAACAGTGAGGGACAGAAAAATAAGTCAAAGTTATTGTGAGGATGGATTGAGCTAAATGCAGTGTAGTCCTGGATGGAAACCTGTAAGACAGCAAAAGATTTGAGACTGAGGTGAAGGTYCGACTTTCAGCTGAGCTATAGTGGAATGGGTTGCATCAAAACTCTTATTTTGTGTTGTTCAGTCAAAATTCCAGTTCTAGCTTGACAACACAAGGAAATGAAGAAGAGAGTTGAATATTTTTAAGGCACTGTGTAACTACATACAGCGGGTAAAATAAGTATTGAACACATCACCATTTTTCTCAGTAAATATATTACTAGAGGTGCTAATGACATGAAATTTTCACCAGATGT